AGTAAGCAGTCGCCATTCACCAGTCTAGTACTGGTTGGAGAATAGCTGCCATCATCTGACTGGTAAACGCCCCGCCCCGTGTTTCCATTTCGGAAATGATTAACCAAAGTCCCGCCATCACTAAATCTCCTGTGTATGTGCCTGCAGGGAGGGGGGTGAGGGGCAGGCCAAAAAAGAGCTGGAGATGCTGGAGAGAGAGGAAGAGGGATCCCGACAGGTGCGATCATAGAAATAGCATGGCGGACAATTCGCTTCCCTCTCCGAGATCTGTACTTGTGCTTGCGCTGCATGTTCCTGTACATGTGTATTCTCCATTCACCTGTACTGCCTGGTGTGTACATTACCCATCACTCACCTGTACTGCCATCCGTGTGCAAACTACTCTTCACATGCCTGTACTGCCTGGCGTGTGCACATTACACCTGACTTACCTGTACTGCCTGGTGTGTGCACATTACACATGACCTGTACTGCCATCTGTGTGCAAACTACCTATCACTCACCCGCACTGCCTGGTGTGTGCAAGCTACCTATCACTCACCCGCACTGCCTGGTGTGTGCAAGCTACCTATCACTCACCCGCACTGCCTGGTGTGTGCAAGCTACCTATCACTCACCCGCACTGCCTGGTGTGTGCAAGCTACCTATCACTCACCCGCACTGCCTGGTGTGTGCAAGCTACCTATCACTCACCCGCACTGCCTGGTGTGTGCAAGCTACCTATCACTCACCCGCACTGCCTGGTGTGTGCAAGCTACCTATCACTCACCCGCACTGCCTGGTGTGTGCAAGCTACCTATCACTCACCTGTACTGCCTGGTGTGTGCAAGCTACCTATCACTCACCTGTACTGCCTGGTGTGTGCAAAATACCGATCACTCACCCGCACTGCCTGGTGTGTGCAAACTACCTATCACTCACCTGTACTGCCTGATGTGTGCAAAATACCTATCACTCACCTGTACTGCCTGATGTGTGCTAATTACCGATCACTCACTTGTACTGCCTGGTGTGTGCTAATTACCGATCACTCACCCGTGTGTGTACACTACCCATCACTAACTTGTACTGACTCGGGTGTGGAGTGTCCCATCACTCGGCTGTACTGCCTGGTGTGTGCACGCTCTATATGCCATTGACCCATACTGCCCCATTCCCACAATACACGCACCGATCTGTGTATTATATACTTCATCATTTACCATCCTGCCTGCCTCCTGCATGTTCTGCCCTCATAGAGAAGTCATTCCATGTATCGGTAGTGTAGAGTGGGCCATATGATGGAGACCTGTCATGTTGTTTTGCTCTCGGCAGGAGGCAGGTGAAGGTCTGTACACTGATGTCCGCACTGCTGAGAAAAGGAAAGCAAAGGATGCCGATGGCAAAAGGTAAATCCTCTTCTCGCCTGTAGTAGTGGGCTGTATGACGCCGGCCTTCCGCTGCTGAGGAGTCCCAACATATCTAGTCAGCCAGAGCCTGGATTCCGTGGTTGCTCTGCGGCTCGATGTCGTCTGTGTAGGAGACAAAATTTCAATTCATGATTTAATGTTTCATCCCCGAGAGTCATGTGACCCAAATTGGTTTCTTCTGCTGCGATAAAGAGCGTTGTCCGCGCTGTAGCCCGACGATGCTTATTGTGGCATCTCCAGGATACATATGCCATCTTCACCTCTAGGGCAGAGCCTAGTCTGGGACCTGAGTCACCTCTCTGTCCTCTGCCAGTCCCGTGTCGCCTCCTCTCTGTCCTCAGCCAGTCCCGGGTCGCCTCCTCTCTGTCCTCAGCCAGTCCCGGGTCGCCTCCTCTCTGTCCTCAGCCAGTCCCGGGTCGCCTCCTCTCTGTCCTCAGCCAGTCCCGGGTCGCCTCCTCTCTGTCCTCAGCCAGTCCCGGGTCGCCTCCTCTCTGTCCTCAGCCAGTCCCGGGTCGCCTCCTCTCTGTCCTCAGCCAGTCCCGGGTCGCCTCCTCTCTGTCCTCAGCCAGTCCCGGGTCGCCTCCTCTCTGTCCTCAGCCAGTCCCGGGTCGCCTCCTCTCTGTCCTCAGCCAGTCCCGGGTCGCCTCCTCTCTGTCCTCAGCCAGTCCCGGGTCGCCTCCTCTCTGTCCTCAGCCAGTCCCGGGTCGCCTCCTCTCTGTCCTCAGCCAGTCCCGGGTCGCCTCCTCTCTGTCCTCAGCCAGTCCCGGGTCGCCTCCTCTCTGTCCTCAGCCAGTCCCGGGTCGCCTCCTCTCTGTCCTCAGCCAGTCCCGGGTCGCCTCCTCTCTGTCCTCAGCCAGTCCCGGGTCGCCTCCTCTCTGTCCTCAGCCAGTCCCGGGTCGCCTCCTCTCTGTCCTCAGCCAGTCCCGGGTCGCCTCCTCTCTGTCCTCAGCCAGTCCCGGGTCGCCTCCTCTCTGTCCTCAGCCAGTCCCGGGTCGCCTCCTCTCTGTCCTCAGCCAGTCCCGGGTCGCCTCCTCTCTGTCCTCAGCCAGTCCCGGGTCGCCTCCTCTCTGTCCTCAGCCAGTCCCGGGTCGCCTCCTCTCTGTCCTCAGCCAGTCCCGGGTCGCCTCCTCTCTGTCCTCAGCCAGTCCCGGGTCGCCTCCTCTCTGTCCTCAGCCAGTCCCGGGTCGCCTCCTCTCTGTCCTCAGCCAGTCCCGGGTCGCCTCCTCTCTGTCCTCAGCCAGTCCCGGGTCGCCTCCTCTCTGTCCTCAGCCAGTCCCGGGTCGCCTCCTCTCTGTCCTCAGCCAGTCCCGGGTCGCCTCCTCTCTGTCCTCAGCCAGTCCCGGGTCGCCTCCTCTCTGTCCTCAGCCAGTCCCGGGTCGCCTCCTCTCTGTCCTCAGCCAGTCCCGGGTCGCCTCCTCTCTGTCCTCAGCCAGTCCCGTGTCGCCTCCTCTCTGCCCGTCCCGCGTCGCTGCTTCTGGTGACATCCGCTGTGTTGTTGTGTTGCAGTGAACCCTCGGGTGACAAGAAGCGAATGAAGCCTGCAGCCAGTCAGAAGCCATCAGGAGAGTCGTACCGGGAGAACATGAAGCGGCTGATCCTGGAGCGGTATAAGGAGTTGGAATAAGCCCCGCCCCCTGCACCATACATATGTGATCAGAAAATTGTGTCCGTTCTGTACAATGTGTCTGTTTTTTTTGTTTTCTCTTTTTTTTTTTAATAAAGAATGTTACAATGTTTCATTGACTTTTCCTTTGTCACTAAATTCCAAAACCTGCAAAAGGGGGGTGCATGGAGATGGGGGCAGTATCATGAGGTTTGGGTGCCCCTTACCTGGTAGTATGATGGGGGTTTGGGTGCCCCTTACCTGGTAGTATGATGGGGGTTTGGGTGCCCCTTTACCTGGTAGTATGATGGGGGTTTGGGTGCCCCTTACCTGGTAGTATGATGGGGGTTTGAACAACCAAGGGGGGGGGGGGGATGAAGGTGGGGTTATGGGAGGGATTATAGATGGAGGTGGCCATATATGAAGGGAGGAGGTTATGGGAGGGATTATGGATGAAGGTGGGGTTATGGGAGGTGGCCATAAATGAAGGGAGGAGGTTATGGGAGGGATTATAGATGGAGGTGTAGTTATGGGAGGGATTATAGATGAAGGTGGGGTTATGGGAGGTGGCCATAAATGAAGGGAGGAGGTTATGGGAGGGCTTACGGATGAAGGTGGGGTTATGGGAGGTGGCCATAAATGAAGGGAGGAGGTTATGGGAGGGATTATAGATGGAGGTGTAGTTATGGGAGGGATTATAGATGATGGTGGAGTTATGGGAGGTGGCGATAAATGAAGGGAGGAGGTTATGGGAGGGATTATAGATGAAGGTGGGGTTATGGGAGGTGGCAATACATGATGGGAGGGATTATAGATGAAGGTAAAGTTACATAGTATTTGAGGTTGAATAAAGTCCATCCATTAGTCCAGTCCATTAGTCCATCAAGTCCAACCTATTAGGATCTCATTCTAGGAGTACCTGTACCCCTGTATATTACCTGTACCCCTGTATATTACCTGTACCCCTGTATATTACCTGTACCCCTGTATATTACCTGTACCCCTGTAT